CCGAGGAACTGGCTGAGTCAACATCCCTGGAGGGATTTAGAAGACATGTAGATGTGGCACTTAGGAATATGGTTTAGTGGTAGACTTGGCAGTGCTAGGGTAACGGTTGGACTCGATGTTCTTAAGTGTCTTTTCCAGCCTAAACAATTCTATGATTCTGAAAGGTGACTTCCTGATCTTAAGAATATGTAGTTGTTTTTGTGAAATACTGATGTTTCCTAAAGGAAATAATTTAGGCTGGTACCAACCATTTAGGCTGGTACCTAAGTGGATGATGCTCAAGAGGACCTATGTGTATGCCTGTATAAATGAAATCCCTTTAGGAAGTAGAAGGCAGAAGGAAAAATCCACCTGTTGCCACTTCAGAGCTGATAGCAAGCAACTTAATAAAATATTTATTTCATGAGGCTAAGCTTTTTAAACTCCCTCAATGTATGAGGTAGAAGTTAATCTGACCTACCTGGAGATAAAATGGGAGGGACAAAACTTCAAGTAAAGATTTGGAGTGCTAATCCTAACTTAGAGTTTTCAAAGTAGTTAACTACAGTTTCTGAAGTAGGTGCTAAATAGATACAATAGCTCTTGGGTTTGCACACTTCCATTCCAGAAGCTGCTAATTGACCTCCCCTGCTTGCTGAGGAGGACTGCTGCGAAGAACCATAGCAGCTGATGTGTCCTGCTGCTCTCTGGAAATGAGACCTTGCTCCTTGAGTCCAGCAAACGTAACAGAAAGCGGTATTGCTGAACCTGCCAGGGCAGAAGCATCATCAGTAGGAAATCAGATACAGAAGGAATATATAGGACATCTTAGTAGATGCAAAATATAATTTAAATCAGTGGACTCCTGGGTATTGAGGGAGGTTCAGCTGCCCAGTTTTCCATTGCTTGAGTAACTGGAAGTAAGCTGTGCTGTGAGGCGGCCAAGCAGGCCAGTGAAGATGTGTTTCGGGTAGTACCTCTGCTAGTCATATACAGGTTCATGGTCTCCCGTGGATCTTACATCTAAAAGGTGTTTGAACAATCCTTGTTATGTTTTACATTGGTCACAAAGCACTTAAAAATGTGTTTGTGGCAAGAAAAAATATTCAGTATTTCAAATGGAAGGTAGAGGTGGAAAATATGGCTGCTTTCCACGCACTTCCTAAAGCTTTTGAAAAGCTTACTTCCTTGAACAAACATCAACTTCCTGATTTTTAGATACTCACCTTCTATCAATTCCTCTTATATGATCCCATTGATTTAAAAATAGTAGTTAGTCTAAATTATGACCTGCATTATATACTCTTGGTGAGGAACTAAAATAACAACAGCACCTCCTCTGAAGTAGTCAGATTTTTTGTTTTGTCACCCAAATATGTGGGTACTGTTTGGTTCTTCCCTTATGAAACACAGGCAGAGAGGGGGACAAAGAAAGAGGCCAATTAGCACTGCCATGAGGATGTGGAATGTACTTACAGTAATTAAAAGCATCAACAGCAAATGTCATCTCCATTTAGCAGAGTCCTGCTGGTATCTTTCTCTGAGTTATCATACCTCCTGATGCTGCTGCTTTCTTCCCATGTCCTACGTGGAAAGGTTTAATCTGGCTCAGAGGAGTTTCTTCAGCACTCGATCAGAGGGGGAAATGAGTTAAACCTCAGCCTGCTCTAACCTGTATGTAAGGACATGGAACGAAAGTGAGCTGGATTAACCTGGTATATAGGTGTAATTCATAGCTAGTTCAAGTAGAGCTTCTCCTGGCAGACACGGGGCAAGATCCTACCTCTGGATTAGTGTTATTAACAGCGCTGGCTCAGTTTTGGAAGGCAACATCTGAAAATCATGCAGGGGAGCTGGCTGAGCTCTTAATTAGCTGGAGAAAGGTGCATCAGAAACACAGCAAGGCAGGGCATGATGTCCAGTGACCTCTGGTAGTGTTATTCCCTACCAGTTGCCTTTGCACTCTCCTGCAGTTAATGAGATCTGAGGGCCTTGACATTGGCCCTGTGTTGTGTTAGGGCGTGGAGTAATTTGATGTGTATTTGTAGATCCTGCTTTCATTCTTTCTTAGAATGACCTGGAAACTACGTAAAAGGCTTTCAGATAAATAGTGGTTGATGGTAATCACTGTCATATCATTAAGTCAGTTTCTTCTTCATCCCACCATTTTACAAATATACCTAATAGCAACAGAGAGAGTAATTTCCCAACTTGTTGAGGTGTTTTTTTCTGCTTATTTCTTAAATGTATAGATTTGCAAAGTTGTTTTGTGAAGCTTAATGCAGTTCCTGCAGTGATAGTTTGCAGTTAATCAACTAGTTTGTACTCCTTAAATGTTCTAGATTTGTTTCTACAGAAGTGAGAGGAGAAAGTTTTACAGCCAGACCTCTTTTATTCTTGTAAGGACCATTTCTCTGTGTTTAAAGTAAAACCTATGTCTTTCTGGTTCTGTGTTAACAAATACCCAGAAAAGTTATTTTAGTTTAGGCAGAATTTATGGCAAGACATGATTTTGTGGTGGTTTGTCCATCTTAAGGAATGCCTTTCAGATGAAAGAGTTCTAAAATCAGAGGCCAGTCTTTTCTCTTTATCAGGCCATTCATCAATTACCTACTCCGAATGCTGTAAACATAAATCCTTTCCAGAAACAGTTTCATTCACACTCGTGATGCTCTTTGTCAAGTCTCTGCTAGCATATACTTGTTACCTTAGCAACTTCCAGGGGTTAAACGGGTGTCTAGGAGAGAAGAACATTACAGATCCCACAGGGTCATTTTGTTTACCCCTAATGACAGGGAATATCTCCTAGCAGGAGGAGCAGTTTCTGGTTTTCCACATGATGCAAAATACCATTACAGAATTTCAAATTACTAAGTGACACTTGACTGGAATTTGAACGGGTACTAACCAGCTTACTAATTGAATATGTATTTGCAAGTCTCTTGTAATTTTGTACCCATGGGAGAGAGGAACAAAAAAAGGACTGTTTTTTCTAGCTCTAGGAGAAATGAAAATTGGGATTCAACTTGCAAAGCTGAAGTTGCATTGTCCCCTTCCTGGAGATGAGAATGAGGATGAGTGCAAGAGAGGGCCAAGGGAAAAATTTGTTCCAGCTTTGAATTTTACTTCCATTTATAGTTCAATTTCATAAAACATTGGTCCTATTTCCATAAAATTGAAGTTCGCTGATTTTCTTAAAAAAAATTGTTTCATTTTTATAGATGGCACTTGCTCAGCACCATCTAGTGGACCGACTGCTATTGTGTCTTTTAGAAAACAACTGATCATAGTAAACCATGCAGCAAATTAGAGCATGCGGTCCTCATAGTGTGAATGAGGTACCTAAAGTATGTTTGTGACTAATTATATAACAGAATCAGATTAGCGGTTGTTTAGATAAAAAGGAGCGTTGTGAAGGAAAAGAAAGTTTAAGCTACGTGTGGGTAGTGGTGCCTGTTATCTCCTGTGTTTCTTTAGTCCACTGAGTTCCAGCCTGCTTGCTTGCTTCTCTGCCTTGCCGTGCAATGCCATCTAGGCTGTAAGTTTCTCCAAGGCAGGATTTTGGAATACCATTTCTTTATACCACATAGTACAAATCACAGCTTGATTGTCGCTGTAATACAAATGATAAATACAAGCTGGTGCTAACAGTGCTTTCTAATTTAAATTGTAGGCAAGGAGGTCAGTGTTTGGCTCTTTGAAAATACTTGATTTTGTTTTAAAAAACAAACAAAAAAAACAACAACAAAAAAAACCCCTTGGGAAAACCTCCCTATAGAGTGCACACGTGCAGAAAGCAAAAGAATTGTCAGGTCATCCCAGTGGCTGCCTTGGGACTCTGGAAGAGATGAGGGGTCTGTGGCTCCGGTTTTTTGGGGGTGCATGGGAACAGGTTTGCTTTTTCCAGTTCTAGCAAGAAGGGCTGAATCTCTGGAAAAATTAATGCCTCTATAAGCCTGGGTATTTTTGCAGTCCTGGCTGCATCACCAGCATCCTACTGCTCTCTCTTAAATAAGGTTTCTTTAGCAGCAAGCCTTTGATTTTTATAGCTCCAGTTGCAAATGAAGGGAGAGCAAAGGGGGAGATCCTGAGTCTCTGGGCAGAAGACCCTGACAAAAGCCACAGATGTGTGGGTGGGAGCAGGCGGCTAGTGCGCTTGCTCGGTGACACCAGGCAAGCACCACAGGCAAAACTCCCTCCAGCTTAAGGAGCAGAGGGAACTATGGAAATTAGCAGCAAAGCAAAGTTGCATTATAGCAAGTGCACCACATTGTAAGATCTTTCCTTTAAACTTCGTGCATTCTAACATTTTGTCACTTTAGGATCCGTTGTTTTTCTTTAGTTCATATGTTTTGGACAAGGAAAATAAGTGGGTCAGTTTTATTCTGTAAATTTGTATGCATTAGCACAATAACATTATGCTGAGTTTTCAAAAAAAAGCTACTCTTAAATAATTCATAGAAGCATTTCACTTCATTTTTCCAAAATGTAGATGTGCAGGCTAGTTTGTTTCCCAGGTT